AAATGCAATCATATTTGGAAGGGTATTGGAACTCATAAGTAGCCCTGGGAAGGTCCAGCATAACTTCAAATGGTTGCTAAGCAACCAGTCAGAAATCAAGAACTCCTTGCAATTGCTCAATCAAATATGCAGTTGCCAACATGGAGGAACACTGCTCTAGAATGTCCAGAATATTATTTTTACCTTCGCAAGCCCAGAGTCTAGAACCCTGTGTTCATTTTTTTTTCCTAATGGAACCTTGGGAAAGTTCCACCCATCCATTATTCTATTCATTTGCTGTCCGGTGGATACGTCGTCTTGGCTATTATCCAGGGCTTAAAAGCCATGAGCAAAGAACGAAGGACGTTGCAACAGCACTTAAAATATTAAAAAGGTAAGAATAAGAACTAAAATATGACTAGCATTAATCAGACGAAGAGATGGGGAAGGTAGAAAAACCACTGGGATCCTCCTGCAAGCTCCATCCTAGGAAACACAGAATAAAAATATAAATCAACCGTTCTATATGAAATGTGTATAGCATGGGTGACGGCAGTGTTTTTCAACCAGAGGAACGTGGAGAGATCTGGACTTCAGAAGCTCTCTTGACTGGAGAATTGAAGTCCACCCCTCTTCCAGGTGCTGAGGTTGAAAAACACTGGATGAGTGAGTGCAGTGGAAACAGAGAATGGGCCTGGGAAAGGGGTTGTAATACTTACAAGGCCGCATAACAGATTCAAGCCTTGCAGATTTAGAGCTGGCTTGAGATCAACAAGAGAGAGAAAGCCAAAAGAGGCATTTCCAAAAAGGCCAACAATGGGAAAACAATCCAAGCAGCTACCATAACTTGAAAAAATTCTGGAGGATGCAATTTCCAAACCTGGAAGTATTAAGAGCATTGGGGAAAACTGGAAGGTATTTTTTTTTCCATCTGAAAAATAAAGGAACTTGTTTACAAAACAGAACATGATAACAAGAGTTGGGAAGGGACTTTGGAGGTCTTCTAGTCCAACCCCCTGCTCAGGCAGGAGACCCTATACCATTTCAGACAAATGATTGTCCAGTCTCTTCTTAAAAACCTCCAGTGTTGGAGCACCCACAACTTCCGAAGGCAAATCGTTCCACTGGTTAATTGTTCTCACTGCTAGGAAATTTCTCCTTAGTTCTAGGTTGGTTATCTCCTGGATTAGTTTGCACCCATTGTCCTGCCTGCAGGTGTTTTGGACAATTGGTTGACCCTCCTCTTCTCTGTGGCAGCCCCTCCAATATTGGGTTGATGATCCCCATCCTGTTTCCAAAGCTGGATGCGTTTCTACCACAACTTTTGGCACTTTCCACAAGCAAGTCCAACCCTCCCTATGCTTCCATTTTTGCATGAAGTAGAGTCCATTTCATGCTTCCTATAACTTTGAAGCATGGATTATGTAGTTCTGAGGATGAGCTTAGAGCTGTTGGGCCAAGGATGTCCTATTCCAGTGATGGCAAACCTTTTAGAGACCGAGTGCCCAAACTGCAACCCAAAACCCACTTATTTATCGCCGGGTGCCAGGTGGACGTGGGCCCCCAGGTGGGCATGGCTGTGGTGGTCATGGCAGTTTGGGTGGGTGTGGCCAAGGTGGGCGTGGTCACCTCGATGTTGCTCGTGGGGAAGGACGCCTGTGGGGGCCGGGCAGGGTTAGGGGATATCCAGGGGGTCTTTGGCAGGTGGGGCAGTGGGCAGGAAGCTCGTCCTACTGGGTGAGGCGAGGCAAGGCGAGGCAGGGCAGGGGAGGGGTGCCATTGTCACAGGGCAAGGTGAGGCCGGGGCGGCTGCTGCCTGACACCATCAGCCCCTGCACACAGAGGCCAGCGAGCGCATGGGTGCTGGGATGCATCCGGCCATGTGGGACCTCAGTGAGTTAGCGGGCGGCTGGTTAAAGAGGGATGGTTGCCATTTTCGGGGCATGGCGTGCGTGCCCACAGAGAGGGCTCTGAATGCTGCCTCTGGCACGCATGCCATAGGTTTGCCACCACTGTCCTATTCTATAGTGGGGAGATTTTGAGAAGATTGGCAAACCAATTGCATTTTCAGGCAAGCAATTGCTTTAAGTGGCTTGATCTAGAGATGCATTAAGCAGTAGCATTTTCTGACAGATAGACATGAAACAGCAAAAAAAAAATTGATGGAAGTCATCAAAATCAACGGAAAAAAAAGAGGCGCTAGTATCTTCCTCATTTTGTTGCTCTTTTTTAACTAAAATCAAGCATTTCCTCTCCCTTCCCATCCAATATGCTATTTTGAAATTCTGCAGGATTGGCAGATCTGCTGTTTTGTCTTTTCATTGGCAGAATTAAAGCAAGGCTTGAGAAGCTCCTGCAGCACTTAAAATGATTAGGAAAATTTATGGGTGACATAACGTTTCCTGCCCTTGATGGTCCTGTTCTATAATTCTCATTTGTGCCAAGCAGGAAAAAAAAAATCCTTTTATACAGGTGATCCTCAACTTACGGCCACAACTGAGCCCAACATTTCTGTTGCTAAGCGAGACACTTATTGAGTGAGTTTTGCTCCGTTTTACGACCTTTCTTGCCACAGTTGTTAAGTGAATCACTGCAGGTGTTGAGTTAGTAACACGGTTGTTAAGTGAATCTGGCTTCCCCATTGACTTGGCTTGTCAGAAGGTCGCAAAAGGGAATTCCGTGACTCCTGGACACTGCGACCGTCATAAATGTGAGTCAATTGTCAAGCATCCAGATGTAAATCACGTGACCACAGGGATGCTACAAAGGTCGCAAATGTGACTGAAGTGAATGATAAGTATTTGAAGGAGGCAAACATTTCTAATACTCCTTCCTCCTCCTATTTTTCCCACAACAACAACCTTGTGAGGTGGGCTGAGAGAGAGTGACTGGCCTAAGTCACCCAGCCGGCTTTCAGGTTAAGGCAGGACTAGAACTCAGAGTCTCCTGGTGATTGGCCCAAAGATTTCATGCCTAAAATGGGAAGACAACTCAGTGTCTTGGCCTGCCTGGGTCTGGGTCTGGCCCTGCTAGCACTGATTAACAATAAAAGGGTTTCTGAAGTGAAAATCTCAGTTCACAGGATTTGCTCACCGAGGACCAGTCACTTGGAGTCAGAATTTGCTTGAATAGGCCTTTCCAGAGCATCCAGTCTCTTGACACAGCAACCTGTCACTGCATCGTTGTTTGTTTTTGAAAAGATATTTTAAGAAAAGCTTTAGATCAGAGAATTTGAAATTTTAAGAGAACAAACAATGGTTTGGTATGATATAGGATCTTTATTGTTTCTGAAGTGTAGAATCCTGTATTCCATGAAACTCTGCCATAGTCCGTTTGGACTCACCTATGTGACAAACGAAGTAAGCCCTATTTGACAAAACTGTGTTTAGAGTCACCTTTTGTTCTTAACGAATATCTTGTGAAGAGTGGAAGTGAGTTCTGAATTATCCACAGAAAGAATGCTTATAGAGCCAATTCCTTTGGGGAAATTGAAATTTTCACAATCATCATTTCTTATTGCGGTGGAAAAAAACCCTTGCTATAGTCTCTTTCACTTCCTCATATGCTCCAGGAGGCCTGTCCAAATCCATTTCTCCGTTGCTAACAGGAATTGAATGCAGTTTTAACTGTATTTTGTAAGACAAACATCAGCTTGGTTTTTTGTCTATTTTAAAAATCCCCTTTTTTCCAAAATCCTTTATAGATAGAGATAGAGATAGAGATAGAGATATAGAGATATAGAGATATAGAGATATATACCGGTAGATATAGATATATAGAGATAGAGATAGATAGATATAGACATAGACAGAGGTACAGGCATAGGCAGAGACAGAGACAGAGATAGAGATATGAATAGAATAGACAGAACAGAACAGAATAGAAAATAGAATAGAATAGAAAATAGAATAGAATAGAAAATGGAATAGAATAGAATAGAAAATGGAATATAGAATAGAATAGAATAGAATAGAATAGAATAGAATAGAATAGAATAGAATAGAATAATCTGGCTAATAGATTAGATAACATCTCACCTCCCCCCATTTATGCATTGATCATTTTATCCAGTTTGTTCTTAATATTAATGTTTTAATTTTAAAGCTTAATGTTTTAATATTTCTAACTTAAGCCACCTAGTTGCTTGATAGTGAGATGCAATGGATGGAAACTAACCAAGGAGAGAAGCAACCTAGAACTAAGGAGAAACTTCCTGACAGTCAGAACAATTAACCAGTGGAACAACCTGCCTCCAGAAGCAGTGAATGCTCCAACACTGGAAGTTTTTAAGAAGAGACTGGACAGCCATTTGTCTGAAATGGTATAGCGTTTCCTGCCTAAGCAGGGGGTTGGACTAGACGACCTTCAAGGTCCCTTCCAACTTTATTATTATTATTAGGATGCCACAATGGTCATAAGTATGAAACATGGTCCTAAGTCACTTTTCCAGTGATGTTGTAAGTTTGAACAGTCCCTAAGTGAACTGCTGTAAGCCGAGGACTATCTGTACCACACACAACAATCATGGCTCTCCCCTGCCAATGTATTTTCAAGTGGGAGCTGTGATCCTTGAAAACCTCAGCTCAAGAGACTTCGTTAGTGTTTAAGGAACTGCCAATCACTTGCTTGGATTTTACGGCAAGAGAAAAAACTGCAGCCATGCCAGCTTTGCTCTGAAAATGGGGAGGATTGATGTCCCGGCTGCACACATTTTAAGTTACGATGACGCAGTTTAAATTTTCAGCAGCAGTTCAACCGTGCTTAATAAAAGCAGTCTGTTTTTTTCTTCTGGAGGAGAGAATTGGAAACTTTTCATTGGTACGGAGCAAAATATGTAAAAAAAATGGCTTCGGCCGGCGATTTTTAATGTTTTATTGGCTTCGTCCACAAGTAAGTTTGTTTTTCAAATAACCTGACATTTGGACAGCAGAACAGGAAAGGAATAGATTTAGTTTCCTGTAAAGGATTCTATTGTTCTCTTTTTTTTTCTTTTTTTGTCCCTTTCCAGAAAACCACTTTTA